GACGCACGTATGTACCCATACCCGGGTGAATGTTCCGTCTCCCCCATTTTCGCACGTTGATTGAGGTGTGTTGTACGTAATCTCATATACGAAACACGTTTAAAAAAATATATGTGTAACGCGCGTCTGCATTTTTTACCGAAAAATGTTCAAGCAATCACTTTTAAGCATGGGAATCTTCTTGTGCTCGACTACGCGAATGGTAAGCTGTGGATTCTACTCTCTGGAGTGAAGGGAGTAAGACGTCTGAAGGAGATTCATTTCGAAGAGCCACTGGCTGCACAAGAAGCGCTTGGAATCAGCTCCAGTGTTAGTTTTATTTTTATGTACTTAATCAAATATCTGATAGTGAGTAACCACAACTGTCACCTTACCGCTTTCACGAATAGTCCAGCTAATTTGCATTTTGCCTACATAGTTTATCGGGAACGAGTAGCTTTTTCTTCTATGACTATTTCCTTGCCGTTACTTTCAGGGGGATGAGGTATTCGTGGCGTGCTTCAACCGATGCGAGGTTCGTGTGACGAAGTATCTGAACGATGGTGTGCTGACAGCGTTCAACTCCTCTGCCATTCGTACGTCTTCGGACAGCCGTCGAAGCGCCAGCGTCCCTCGACCGCCTGAGAGTCAGGTGTAGTGCTTCGGAAGGTCCCGTAGCGGTGCTCAGGTGCTAATGCTTAGTTATGATTCTTTGAACTGCTTGAAACGCTGTTTTTATTCGATCACTCAAAAAACTAGTGGTCGTAGTTGTAGATTAGAATTGCTGTCGTCATGATCCGTACTGGGCCCAGATAATTGTTTTCATTTATCTTACTGATAATACTTCCTATGATGATACTACTTATTCAATAGGACCTCCTGGTGTTTATCTTATCATTGCAATATGAAAGTACGGTCTTGAAGCCTCTAATTTTATTCTGTGATCGTGGGGACTACCATAGTCAATCACGTCCTACAGTAGATCTGTTCCTGTATTTAGTGTTCTCACAGCTGGTTGCCAGCTTTTGGTAGAGCTTCGTCTGGCTAAAGCCATTCCTCTTATCTCTTCACTTATTACCCGTTATTTTTCACAGATATCAGTGCCTTGTCACCTCTTCGACTTTATTTTGCTGCGCTTATCACCCTATCATCGCCCATGGAAACGGTGGTGTAGATAAAGAGTCACTTATTTCATTTCTCTTTTGTTTATATGAATCCTAGATAATAAACGGTATTCATTGAAGATAGCATGTGTTTTTTTTTTTGTTGTATGGCATGGTTTCAAACGCAGGAATATCTGATGGTGTTCATGCTTTCAATTTTCTACATTCTTTGGTTGCATGCTTTTCTAGCAACTACTTCGAAAGGTTACTCCAAAGATTTAAATTTGCTGTTGAAATAGGTGACATCTATGCAAATCAGAGAAGGTAAACCTCGATAAGTTATGTACTGCCCTTTTTACGAAGGCCTTGCTATTCACTTCTGAATTCATTATGTCCTATGCAAAGCCTATAAGGGTGTCGACAAAGATGAAGTGGGGTTAGCTACAAGCAGGGAGAAATGTCACCACATGTAACAGGCCTTGTTTAGATTTGTTAGTGTTAAGAATACTCCATACACTCGGTCCTAAAGGCTCGATGGGAAGCGCTGCCTTCATTTAACGGTAGACAACGTAGAACATTCATCGAACTGAACGTTCTCTGTGTAAGTTAAGGAGCTAACAGGAGCTTCGTTGTTGTTCAGAGCAGCTGTAAATTTCACTTCTTAACTGCCGTAGTTGTACCTGGAATAACCAACTAAAGTAAGCTATACATGGAATAGCTTAAACTGGCTCTAGGTCCTAATTAAACTAGGTCCTGACATATGAAGAATGCTATGAATTCAAGCCTAGCGAGCATATTTTGCAAAAAAGCGCAGTTAGATGAAACATTAACAGCCGGTCAGGGAGGATGATTGTGGGCCTGGAAATTGTATTGTTTCATCGCCCGGTATCCCTGCAAGGTTAGTTTACTGTGCGTTGGTTAAATCGGCTAAAAGACAGTTCACTTGAGAAATGATTCTTGAGATTGCTCGCTTTTGTAAGCTGCCACATCCAATTTAGCCTAAGGGATGCTGACGTATCCGAAAATGGCCAGTGTAATCCGTAATATAGGCCCCAGAACCGGCTCAACCGTGCATAACCAAGGCGGACGAGTTCTTGAGCGTTATAAAAATTATATATTATGAAAATTAGCGTTATAAAAGCTGTAGAAGTTGCATCATTCGCACCGGGACCCACATTTTACACGCTGACAGATCGCTGCAGCCAGCGGAAGAAGTGGCGCGCACATTTAAACAGCTCGTCCAGAAATTCCTGCCATGCGATTTCTGTCGTCGCATTCTGAACGTCCCAACGATGTTTTTCAGTGTTACAGTACCAGGAGCTATTTTTACAGCTCCCCTTTTCAGCAGTAGCATCCTTGGNTTTGAATCCGTACCATATTTTTTCCTGCTAAAACTCCAATTAACTAACAGATGTAGTTGATGGTTCTGAACAAGAATAGGTTATGTGGGTTTAGTCTCGAAAGGACCACTTCCCACCTAGGTACATATAAGCTGACTTGAATTAGGTGTGAAAGATATAAGTCCATTGGCCTATCCTCATATCGTATTAATCGAATAAATGAATAAATGATGGAAATAAGAACAGGTTAAGAATGAAGTTTTGGAATAATTTCCATTTGTTTATCTTTGTTGTAAGTTTTACTATCGTGCGCAACAAACGAAGTCAATAAGATTGGAAGTTTTATCATCGTGCATGAATTGAAACCGTGAATTTTGTAAAGTAGTCGCTTACAAAAGCAGCCACCCACGTGTTATAGATAAGTGTTTTCAGAACCTCCCATCAAGGTGTGAAACCATCCTCAACTCTTGCGAAGTCCTTCAAAAAGTGTGAAAAGGCCACAAACGATTCGCCGAAGGGCATTCAATGGCTCTTCTTGATGATCAGCAGTTCAGTATTAAGCATCTACGTCGCTACTGTGAAGTTTGATTGAAAAGAGGTAGGCTAATAAGCCGTTTCGCTCCATATTTTGAGTTTCACTTGTGCACTGTAGTAGAATTTCGAGTGTTGAGGAGCAAATTTATTTGTTCGAAAATACCATCTCCCCTAAAGTTTTGTTTACTCTCTTCACTTTCCCACTCTTTGATCCCCTGGACGTGGATGGCTTCGGAGTTTTCTTGCATTAATGGTTTCGCCTCGCATCTAATAATTGCTGCACAGTGGCCCTCCTAGTTCATTTAAACGAACTTCGGAAATCCAGAAAACGTTCGTTTTCCAAGACCAACGTCTTTGGCGCTAGAATGGCTCGAAGTAAAGCCAGGAAATAAGTGCCATCGTAGTGAGGATGTTCGCTAACCCCTATTTGTACATTTGTGACGAGATTATTTGAAAAGTTGTGTAGCAAGAGTAGTTAGAAGCGAAGTAGAGCGACTGTGAGTATTGCGAAGCCTACAGATCGGAATTTTTTGTAATAAGCAGCTTCGGCTTTGGACGATGAGTTTTCTCGAGAGTGTCTTACTTTATAATCGGCAATGTGTAAAATCTACGTAAGGCCACACTCAGCCTGGGTCAGCTGATGGTAGAGGTAAAATTTAATCAACAACTAGCTCACTACAGCGAATTTCAAGAGTCAAGCTTCCTTGTGAAACAACTTTTTCACTGCTCAGGGGCAGACGTAAAGAAGCCCCTACAAGGTCATCTCATATGACGCTTCGCAAGCTTTTTTCGAATAAATTGAGCAACGGTGGAGATGAAAAGCTCATAGTTCCCATTCCCCGCCTGCTTACTTCCATTTTTCTTAGTTATCTACTTCCATGGCGTTTACATTTTCACTCCCTCTTTGTGTTTTTGTTATTTTGCGACTCTTCATCTTTTCGTCTTTTCCACTTTTCTTTTAGTTGTTATCTTTTTACTCTCAGCCGTGTGGAAATGACATGCCTTTGGAAGAAAGGTTGTGTAGAACACGCCAGAACGGCACCCGTTTCATTCTCCCACTTGGTGTGGATGATAGGCCTCCGAATAAAACTCGCACCAATGGTCGTTGCCCCAGCAAATTATGTCAAAATCACTCGAATTTTAAATTAAACAAATAATAAGTAACAAATAATAATAAATAATTTAAAAAACAAATTTCGACTGGACCTTGCATACCTCACACCCTTATAAGACCTGCATCGAATTCCCCAGACTCGCCACAAATTAGAGGCAGGACCTTACTTTGAATGTGACCTTCAGATGTTTTCATAAGTAATCGAACAAGATGGTAGGCTGAATTCTGCGATCAATCCATGCGTGAATGCAGCCCAGTCCTATGAGCTCAGTGACTTCCGTTTACGACAAGAAGATATTAGAGTGCTTCGAATTGGCAACTCGCAATTGAGGCACCCGAATGGTCGCAAGTTTCTTGGGATTTCCCCGATTCAGAACTCGTTCTGACTATATTAATTTCTTCACCGACGCCCACCTGAATCGTCTTAGCTCTTCATTACAAGGAAATCACGGGAGAGGTACACCTAGGATTCAAACGATATTAACGATAGTATTATAGAAAGCCTCCTTTCGGAAACCTTATTCTGTTGCCTGTTGCCTTTTAGGCGATATAGTCTTACGTTCAAACGGTTGTTAGGCTCTGAAGAAAGGCGCATTCTCATGGGAGAGTTGCTCGCTCTGCGGCTATAATCTTACAGCATGCCGAGCTCTTGCATCATGGTTTGGGGAAACTTACTCGCTCCCCCCGGCCAGTTCTACTTCTGGAAGGTTCTCACTTCTCTAGGCTCTCAATAAAGTTTAGTCGGAGAAGCCAACATCACTAGATCGCTGAGGGCTGTTGATTCTTTGGTGGAACATGCGAATTACTCCATCGATTCCCTGCTCACCACCTTACAAGCCTTACAGAAGGCAACAGAAAGGTAGTTCGATTGTTCGTGCTCTTCGAAACCACTTCCCACTCCTCCGTTCAAGGCGTCCAGCATAAGGCCCAGATGCAAGTAGAGATCGTGCTTTCAACGTATAAAGCGTAAATTTCAATGTAGGCGTGCACTGTACACTATCACACTAAATTTTGGTTACAGGACCGTTGTCAACCGAGTATGTGTACGAACGTGCGTCCGAGGATGGGCGCGGCAAATTGCGCGGCGAAGTTCGTGATGATTTGAATGACTTTGGCGCCTATCATTGGGACCCAAATTTGAAATAGAG